ATCATTCCAAAGGAGTATTGGTTGATTGAAATCTATAGGAATTTATACAAAATATGTGCCATTCTATAAGGAATTTATGTTTATCCTCCTACTGCAGCTAATCATGGTTATTGAAATTTTTTATAATGCTAGTATTATTTGGATTGTTCAATTTAATGCATAACTTAACTTATTTTATCATAATTGTGTTTAATTTTTCTACTTCATTAACAGATTGTGTGATGTTTCAAATGAGTTCAATAAATTCTTCTGCTATGAAAGGTAGACGTCCACATTCTACAATTTACTGCCACTGTCACTTGAAATGTGTGTTCTATACTTGTTATTGTGAACCTTATTAATGAATGCAATTTTATAAGTGCATTTATAATTGAACATATGATGATTGTCGTTATTTTAAATGGATAGATGAATTATAAAAGGCATCTGATGCTACACATAAGGAATTAAAAGGCTTCAAGGAAAGTATTTCTAAGAAGCTTGACTTAATTATCTTCTTCATGAAAGTCTTTGTTGTGGTTGTACTTGTTTACACAATATGATTACACAACCAATCATATTTCTTTTGCCTTTTAATATGTTGTGTCGAACTAGTTTGAATGTTAATGTAGTATTGTTGAGATTAACACATGTTTTGTTTGTAGTTTGTTTGCTTATTGTTAACTATATAGAAATGTGTTTACTTTAAGTTGCAATTTGTCATATATTGTAATAATGTGTTGATCAAGGCTAATGTAGTTTATTTACTTATCTAAACTTGTTGAATGAAAAAATAATCAAGAATGTGTTACTCAAGGCTGATCTCCAAGTTTGTTTACTTCTCTACATTATGAAATTGCTAGAGTTTTTTCCAATTCACTACTTTCTAATAAAAGTGTTTGAGCAGTACCATTTAGAATAATGCTAGTGTTTGAAATAATATATATATATATATGTTGCAACACATTCCAAACTTGTTTTGAGCAGTGAAATCCTATTCTAGTGGAGCAGAATCCATAGATGGTTTCTTTTCTTATTCGATTGAAGAAACACAAACTTCACTGGAGCTACTATACAACCACGATAGCAACAAAATTTGAAATACAACATAATATAGGTGTTTGAACAGTAGATATTTATTAGAATTACTAATGCAACAATAATTTATGAACACATGTAGGAAAATTTTAGAGAGAATAATGAAATCAGATGTAATCTCACATTAAAACAATAACAAATGCTTTATAAACATGTGGAGGATAAATCAGAAGCTTATTGACGGAGGATATATCATTAGCCTACCAGCGTTCAAAATTTCTCTCAATACCAATTTAGTTGAATCAAATTTAAATACACTATGTTATGTTCCTTAGGATAAATGTAATTAAGATTAAATGTTCAAGCTCCAATTTATGTATAATTTTAGTTCTTATAAACTAAAAGAAATTGTACTTTCATATACAAATATAAAACAATTATATTAGAAAATAGGCTTTTCTTATTCCAAAAATGGCATTCCTTCGAATAGTGCATGAAGTTATAAACCATCCACATATGAATACTTTAATTCATAAACCTAAGGGTCATTTACAATCCATCTTCTTTAAAAATTTGCTTATTTTTGTTGTACTACTTGTGAGCATTGTCTCCTCATTGTACTTCTTTTCCAAAGGGTTCTTACAAGTATTCCGGTGATGTCCACAAAGACCACACCAACCAATTTTATGTGCTCTCTTGTATTTATCCAAGAAATTTCATAGCCTTCTTTTTCATGGCCTACTTCTTGGTCTGAAAGTATTCAGCACACTAACTTACTCATTATTGTCTATTACTGGCTACTGCTCCTTCCCCAGTAATGTGGCAATTACTCCGTCATATGGAAGTATATATATAAACAACTTGTAATCCTCAAGTTAGTATTTGTAAAATGCAAACAATGGTTGATATGCAAAATGGTAAGTGTTACCTTACTATGTAGTAGTATTCATCAACATATGTATGTCACAATGGCTACTCCTTCAAATGAATGAAATCCACAACATGAATGCAAAGTAGACCATTTAACTCCCACACCCTACATGTCAAGTATCTTCTTTCGATATAAATGACATGTCTTGAATGGAAGCCCACCACCTCAGACATGAAAATACTTGATTGTCGAACTACAATATGATATTTTATTGTTATTATATCTCTTATATACTCTTCTACATTTCGGACTAACTAATGCTTGTTATTATATCTCTTATATACTCTTCTACATTTCGGACTAACTAATGCTGCCATGTCAGGCAAGTCATCTTTCACATAACTCTTTTCTCCATAAGCTTTCCTCAAATCATATCAATTATGTCAATAGCTGGTATGGTTCTACCATCCTAATCCATGAATTAAATGATTCTACAAAGTTATTTGTATTGGCACTATGACATACCCCTATCAGGAATTGACCTCTTCACCACTTTATGGTAACAAATTCAAGTACGACTAAATAGTTAAGCTCAAATCACTTACTTCCTCAAGATTCTCATCAAACTCTTTACTAATATAAGCATTACCAGCCCCCAAACCAGTCCTTAAACGTTTTCCCATCTATGTAATGATGTTTTTTTTAAGATTCTTCTATAGATGACGAACACAAACTCTATGCTTAGCTATACATCTCTTATTGCCTCCCCAAATCCTTCTCCATGTTTGGTATGAAAGCAAGAGGTTTTATGTTTGTACCATTTATCTCTCCTAAGTTTCAATAAAACCATGACCATGTCTGCTTCGATTCAGCCTCAATTACAACATAGGCTAATATGAATAATCCATTGTTTCTGTCAAGTGAATTGGACAATAAAAGCACACATAAATACTTAGATTTAAGATGGCATGCAATTATACTTAGAAGAGTTCTACAACCAGCAAAAAATCCATCAATACACACATTGAAATTAACATAAAACCTCTGAAAAGAATAGTCAATACTATTAAATGTATATGTAATATGTAAGCCCAGATTTTTATTAAGTTGTTTCAATCTCAATGTTGGAACCCATTTATAGTTATCAATAACTGAGCCAAATTTGGTATCACAGTATTGCTCTCTTGTCCTCCAAAGCTTCATATTAGGTAATGATAAAGCATACTCTTTCTCTAGATAGTTATTTATTTATTTTGAAGGAATGTCTGGATACCTCTTCAACATCTCCAGAATCTCATTTCAACCCATGTAGATGTAGTAAACCTATTCTCAACACTATTTACCCAGGGCATATACGTACTCAATCTACTCTCAATAATTGAAAAGATTAAGTGTCTTCACATAGGGAAGCTCAAATTCTCTATTGATAGCCTTGATAAGAACATGTCGCAATAACACGTTTCCTATCACTAGCTTTTATCCTAACTCCAAAGTTCTCCTTAATGTTAACTGATCGAAGAGCATTCTTGAAACTAGTTGCATCATTAAAATATGTGACCAGAGTTATATCTATAAAACATGTTGTCTAAACACATGAAATACAATCATTATGGGTAATGGAACATTCTACTATCTATTCAATACTAACAACACCCACAACAACCATAAGGTGTGAATTTTATTGATCTTCATCTACTTCTTAAAGTGAGATAACTATCTTGGCATGTAAATTTAAATTTTATAGTTTAACCGACTCACTCTTGCCCACATCAGACTTGATTACTTTGTATTCCTTGGGTAATGTTATGCATATGTGATAAAACATATTATATTGATGCCCTTTAAGCCATAGACATATTTTAGCAACCTCTACTCCAAGCATGAAAATATGTTTTTTTTCTATGTTTGATAGTCATTTGTCTTCCGTCATTTTAACTCTTTCTAGATTGGTATTATATCTACAAAAAATCCTCCAAATTTAAATGCAACGAATAAATGCACTTTTTTATTTCCACATAAATCATTTCTTACTTCATCACCATAATCCTGCATTAACGAACTATGCCACCCACTTTTTCCATCAACTTCAAACACAAATAAAAATACATGTTTAACACCAATTCGTTAGAAGAATCACAGACATAAATATTGACAATTAAAATGCCCAAAAACAAAAACATAAAGCATATATATAGATATATATATATATATAAATATATGACTGAGAAATAAGATTAAAGGACTTAAATCTGCTTATATAGAATGCACCCATATCTAGCTAATTTAATACAAAGTGCTAATTAACTAAAATTAGAAATATAGCTAATATTTGTTTTATAGAACGTTGTTTGGGGATGTTAATTAAATAAAGAATAGCAAACAACTAAAAGTCGGCTTCTATAAGTGATACATAATGCACCCATGACATATATGCATATAGAATGCACGTTGGAAGTCGAATATGAGAGAGAAAGCACGCGAGAGCAGGTTGGTTGCGAGAAAGAAAGCAACAGAAAAGGAAATTTCAACAGGAAGAGAATAACGTACGTTGGAAGAGGAGATTTCTACAGGAAGAGAGTAACATCATGAGTTTTGTAAAAGCGGGGTGGTACTTTTGGTGTTAAATTTGTTGTTTAGATAGTATAAATGAAATATTTATGTTTTGAGTGTTGAATAGATAATATAGTTATAAAGTTATAAGCATGTACATTTTTTTAATCATTAATTATAAAATTCATTTAAATGCTTTAAATATTGTGAAAAAATGCTTGTCTTCTTATTTAAAATAAAATAGTAGAAAATTCCCACGGATGCGCCTGCCCTATCTGACACTACGACCTGGCTGCCGTCTTCAGATTTGAAACATGTGATTCTCGTGATGCCCATACGATTCGGGGATATGCTCTATATTTAGAAAACACTTGACCCGGTTTAGCCTCGGCCCGACAAGACCGACCCATCTATCTATGTTCAAATACAAAATCCTTTAAATCCAGCCGTGAAATCTAATTTGAATATTTGGAGAACGGAATCAATCATGACCGTCCAAAGCAAATTCATGGTACTTGGAAAAAATTCAAAATCTCCGCATCCCTAAAATACTACTGTTGTCTACTCTGCTGCGGCTCCATTAAATAAACCCTATCTTTCTGCCTTTCCACCATCCTCTCCGGCCCATTCTTTGCTATAATTTTTGTGAATGTTGGGCGATTCATTGATCTCTTCCTCTTTTTCTTCGAAGAAGAGGGAAACCCCCATCGCTACCCCTTTCGCTTCCTGCATGCAAGGCTGGCATCATCGCTGCCTAGGCCTCGACCCTTAGATCTGATTCAATTACATTGCTTTTCAGATCTGCAGATATTCTTGTTTTTTTTTACGCCTAGGCCGATGTCCTGTAAGCGTCCGCAGAATACGGCGCCGATGAGACGGGGGATTCATAAGGAGAAGCTCATCGAGGAGAGGAAGGGTAAAGGAAATGGGGCAATCGAACGGTTTCTGATCACGGTGACTGTGCCGGGTAGTGCCGGGAAGATTCGATTCGTGGTCAGGGAGAAGGAGCTTGTTGAAGTGGTTATTAGTATGGTGCTCAAGTCTTACGCGCGAGAGGGTCGGCTGCCAATTCTTGGATCTGATTTTAATGATTTCGTTCTTTACAGTGCGAATGACGGCTCTGAGGGTAATTTTTATTGATCGATTTGATTTGTTGAGTTTTGTAGGCTGAACATTTTCCTTGCTTGTTTTAGGTTCTGATTGGCGAGTCAGGTTAGAAAAAAAAGGTACTTCAAATGTGAAAAAAAAAGAAAGAGAGTTAAATGATATACATTTTTTTAATGGTGATTAATAGATTTAGGAAGAAAAATAAGATAGCACTGCAACATGGTATAAATTCATAACCAGACGCTGAATCATATAGGCCGTCGAATACATTGATTATTAGGCTAGTAGAATAATTTTATGATTTTCATAACATTTTTTACTATTTTTTATTTTTTATTGTTGCTTAAGCTTTCTGAAATTAAATGAGTTGTTTCTTTTAGTGAGAGTTAAGAGAATTATTCCACAGTAGTATCCTGTGTACGATAAGAGTAATTTTATGAACAACCAACTCCTTCAGATATGATAGTAGATTGAAAGGCTTATCTAACCGGGGTCATTTACTTCAAGTTTTGCTCAAATTGGGAGGGAATTTAAACGAAAATGATTATTGAATAAAATTTTCCGTTTTTTAAATTTTCTTTCTATTCAACTTTTACACGCGGTTTAAGGAAAATAAATATTTTTTTACTAAATTCTTTTATTTCCCTCAACTATTAATGGCATTAATCGGATCACAATGTGTTGCAGCTCTGTGTCCGTGGGAGCCTATCGGCTGCAGCGAGAATAGGAATTTCTTATTGTGCAAAAAGCAGGGTTTGGCTGGTGTAGAAAGGTCGCATATGCCTGTAAATACAAGGGAGGCTGGAAATAAAGGAAAGCTTGGTTGGAAGGCTTGGCTCAATAAGTCTCTTAGCTTCAGAATCTCTCCTCGCTGAGCCATTCTTTATTTGCCAGCAATGTTGGATTGCTTGATTATGCTTTGTTTGTGAGATTCAAGGATGAGTTTTAATTCTTGTTCTTATGAGCTTCATGTTGTATTTCATTCAAAATATCCGGGATCGGATTTCTGTAGTTTGCTTTAGTTTGTATCATTTTGTATTCAATTTTAATAATATGGTGTTTAGGGTTGACATCTACTATGTTTAGACGTAAGTTTTCGAGACTCACTGTTCGTGAAGATCTGCTACATAATATTAGAGACGCTAATCAGAGATTTAATTAGTTAATCATATGTAATTATATTAACTGTTTAGATGTATCCACTTAGTTTGTGACACGTGTAACTGGGCACCTAGTCTATGCATCTATATAATCTACTCCACTGTATCTGTAATGCATCATCCAATACAATTGATCTTCTTTCTCTTCTACTGTTCATCTTCTTGATCTCCGGTGGTCTCACCGTGAGAAACATCAGACTCTCTGTTTCTACACATAATGTTAAGCGTTTAACATATGTTAGTTGTAATGTGCAGTGTCCTCGTTAAATAAATATTTTGTTTACAAGATTTAGTGTTTGTTTTGATGACATCTAGATGACAATCAAATTTGCAGTCTTATAGATATTAGACTAGGCGGTGCTAGTTGTACTGATAATAATACTAAGAATTGCCCTTCATTATTCTAGTTTGCAATAAATTGTTCAAGTAAGAACATTAAATCTAACGCTCCACATTTGATGAATAATATGTAATACAATAATTTTAATAATACTTTTTTTTTTTGGGGAAATTATGGGCTTTGCCCTTTCCATTAAACTGAAATAGTTACATGTAATAGAAACTATTGTAAAGATAAAATTTTACCAAAATAAAGATGAAAAGACTAAAAAAAATTGGGAAGAAACAGACAAAACTCCCCAAGAAGAAGCCAACAGCAAAAATAAAAGAACAGGAAGAGAAGATAAAAACAACATCACCAGAAACAGTGGGATCCATAAGGACCCACGGACTTAGGATTTGCCGCTCTCTCTACCTGGTTGCAAATTGTATAGCCCGAATAAAAATCTGCCCTCCAAAGGAGAAAATGGCAAATTTGTCATCCTTGCCCAGCATACCAGCCATCACAAACTGCCAAAAAAATACCATCCCAATCCTTCTTGCTATCAACCGGAGAATACAAACAGCAGACCAACAAGCAGGTCAGAGCATTTCCATGTAAACCTCCCTTCCTTTCCACTTAGTAATCTTACCAAAAACAGCGGCTTTGATTTTATGCACTAGAGTAGCAGAAGACTCCACATTACTGCCAAACTTTCTTTCATTCCTTTCCCTCCATAAGTAATAAACAGCACAGCAAATGAGCAGGAAGTAAAACTCTTTTCCCTTCTTAATCTTTTCATCTATATACTCAAACAATTGTAAGATTGTAGGTCTGAATAGCATGTTTCCCAAATTAAGAAATAAAGACTTAATAACAACAAATGCATAATCACATTCAAAGAAAATATGACTAGCCGTTTCATTTCCAGAATGACTAAAGGCGCAATTTGGATTGACATCCATTCCCCTACTTCTCAGAATATCAGCCGTTTTAAGACCACCAGCTAGTGCCATCCAGCAAAAGGATGAATAACGAATGGTATAACGTTTATGCCACACGAAATGCCACCAATTCGTTTTATAATAATCTTTGTAATAAAATTCTCTAAAATCCATTTGTTTAGCTTTCTTACCCGAGCCCCAAAAAAGATTATTATGATTGTCCAGCAGAACAGAGAATGCTCGATATACAGTTATAGTTAATTGGCTAGGCAAATTCCAACCATTCTCGTTAAGAATAACCTCAATACAAGCATTCACATGAAATGAGCCAAGAAGTGGCAGAACATCCTCAACTTCATTAAGCCTCTTATCCTTGTACCAATGATCCCAGTAAAGAGCAAACTTAGAGTGCACAGTCACTCTAAAATGAAAATTACCTTTCGCAGAACAGGCATCCTTACAAATATTTTTCCAGAATTTGGTATCTTTAGTACCCGGTTCCTTCCATGGGGAAATGTAAACATGAGATATCCACTTGGCAAGGGGGCTAGGATAATTATACATCCTAATAATAAGAGCACAGTTGTAACTAAATTGGAGAGAAATAAGAGAGGGTAAACCTAAACCCCCCATAGGCTTAGGTTTACACTTGTTTCTCCAAGAGATAAGATGCATTTTCTTGGCACTAGTATCTCCAAAATAAAGAAATTTAGCACATACTCTATCAATTTGCTTAAGCTAGAGTATGTGCTAAATTTCTTTATTTTAATAATACTGAACCAAGCCTTTTGTGATAGTTATGTGTTTTATATGTTTCTTTTTTAGATCTAATTTTATGCTTGTTTGGCTTTATTAGGTTTCATTTTTTTTCCTTTATCATTAATTAGTTTTAGAAAATTTATGGTGATACAAAAGTTTAATTTCTTAATATTGTATGAAATTTAAAACGCACATAAAATAACAGTTATAAAGAGCATCAAATGTTTTATGTGGATTTTTTTAAAAGAAAAAAAAAACCATGGGATTTGTCCTGATTGAAAAAATTTCATGTAATGATGTCCTTCATTATTTTGAGTGAAAACATCGATTTAATGTAAAATAAACTATTTATAGATAATTGATTCCATAGTGGAAGTTATAGGAACATTGGAGCATTTGAATGGTCTTTAAGAGCTATTTGTTCATTTATTTTTATTTGAAGAGAGGAAACCAAATACTAAGAAGTCCAATAAGAGTTTTGAGTTTGATTTCGAGAGTGAGTGTTGATATCAATGGCATGCATCGACGTTAGTCTTGATTGCGAGTGATGAAGTTGAGGAGCTTCAACATATTTTTTCTATGGTGGTTGGAGTATCGTTCTAAAAAATGTTGATCTAAAATATATTGTTGGGTGATAGTAGTTAAGAGATCATAGTCAGGTGACTGTGGTAAGATAACAATATTCAAAATATATTAATCAGAAATTTGTAATTCCAGGATGATAATTAGAGAATCATAGTTGGGAAGGTCATATGTCTCAATCTTGGTCAAATGATTGTTTTCATGTGATGTTTGTCAAAGGACTCTAGTTGTAAAATGGTGTTCTAAGATTTGAAATTGGGGTATGGTGGTGGGAGGATCATAATCGATAGATGGTGATTGAGAGATTATAGTTGGATAATTTTGGTTAGAGGATACTACTCAATCAAGGGTGGTTGTAGGATCATATTCGAGTGATACTGATAGAATGGTCATAGTCAGAGGATGGTGGTTAGGGATAGGTGGTTTAATTATTGTAACTAGGCACTAGTGGTTTGGAGTGATAAAGTTGGGTGATGATGGTCGAAGAGACCATACTTTGGCAATGATGACTAGGAGGATCATAGTTGAGTGATAGTAGTCGGAAGATCATAGTTGAACACTAATGGTTGGGAGATAATAAATGAGCATCAATATTTTAGAGACCGTAGTTAGGTGATGGTGGCTAAGTGACCATACTTTGGCAATAAATGCTCAACATACTTTAGCGTAGTTAGGTGGCATTCTTCAAATCTCTAATCTCTTTTCTCTTTCTTCTCATCTTGTTTACTTCCATATTGTGAAGAAATATCTATTTATAGATTTTTAGAGTGACATGCTCTATAAATATAACCAAAATCTAAAACACTCCATTTAACACCCTATATTGATATGCCCAATAATAAAATCAATTTTAGCCTTTAAGTACCTTAGTAATGTTAGAATTAAGCAATTTTGAGCTCATTAGATTAGTCTTAATGAGACTTTATTTGCCTACAAACATGAAAGTTTTAGATTGTTTAGTTATCCAATTAATATCCTAAAATTTCTAACTACACTGAGTGATTAATTTGCACTCATTTAGGGTCGAATCAGATAACCTTAGGTGTTGATGGGTTTTTCTTGTCCTAATATTCAGTTGGAATACAATTTCATTGAAATGAAAAGTTGAATTGTCCTAAATATTTCATAAGTTTCTAATTCAAATATTGCAACGAGATTTTCCTTAAATTGGACACATTTTTAATGATGTTAATTCCAATTGTATTTTTGAACATAAAATACTATATTGTTAAAAAATTTATCTTTGGTCTTTGAAACATTTTGGGGTAAAATATTGTAATTAAAAGAAAATTACATGGTGCAATCACTCTCTAGATGTCAATATTTCCTCGGAGGCAGTTAACTGAAGTAAAACCTCCCAATTATAATTTTAGCATTCTATGAAGTAAGTATATTAATTGAAGTAAAAATTATTGAAAGTTTTCTTTCACTCTTTAAATTGGTTGTAATTGGTGATAGAGGCTCCATTGGTCTTTAGAAACATTGAAATTGAGTCTTGAGTCCAAAGTATTAAAAAATGGACTTAAGGACCATAAAATTCAGTGAAACATATTATCTGAGCTAGAACACTAGACCAAACATGCATAGGTAGATGGATCGACTATCTCCTGTCTCCAATGGTGTCCAATACTACATGTACACCCTGATCTGGGCTAATAAATAGCACCCTCATGGGTGATAATTATTAGGTTTTATTTTTAACTAAAATTTGCGTATTTTTATGTGAGCATCATGTGTGCAGCCCATTAGACCAATACCCTCATATTAAAATTAAATCATTTCCTTTTTTCTTTTATATGAAAAATTAAATATTGCTCTAAGAAATTCTAAAAATTATAGTGATATTTAAAAATTTAATGTTTTTATATATTTCTTTCCTCTAGGATTTATAAATACCTTTATTGGGACTACGGGAGAGTGGTTCACCATGCAAGCTCTAATCTATCTTTATAAAGGTTGAAAAAGTTGGCCAACAGGAGTTTAACCATAAAATTTATAAATACCTACATGAGGGTTCGATTTTCTCTTTAAAATAGCTAGCAATTGATGTTATCACCAAACATGCACAAAGTATTATGTGGTCGTACTATCATCCAATGGAGACTATGTTGAGCGATCATTAAAATTAGGTTAATCTTACAATATTCAAATAATTGAAACAAAGTGGCATGTTAGAAAACAAGTAATAGAAAATAAATGCTAACTAAAATAGAAAATGGATAGTGCTTAGGCTTGTAAATAAGGATAACTAGGCGTCGAGATTAGATTTTGTGGACAAATAAATGTGTCATTTATTCACTTTAATGTTTCTT